TATAGGGCTGCCGGCGCGGTGGGTGTCTGGCTTGATCTTTGGTCCAGGAAGCACGTGCCCTCACCATCAGCACCATGCAAGCTGTACTTGTCCCTTTCATAGCATTCTGGCTTTACGATCTTCAAGTTCGCAATGTCGGCCGTCGACCGAAAGGTCTCCCTCCTGGACCTCCAACCCTCCCCCTCATCGGCAATTTACACCAGATCCCGCCCAAGAACGCATATGTCCAATTCAAGAAGTGGGCAGAAGAATACGGCCCAGTCTACTCGCTGATCACCGGGACGAAAGTCATGATTGTGCTCAACACCGACGTCGCCATCAAAGACCTCCTCGACAAGCGCAGCAACATCTACTCGTCCCGACCGGAGATGTACATCTCCTCCCTTGCCAGCGGCGGCCTCCGCATGTTGCTCATGCCATACGGTGATACCTGGCGGCGAGTCAGGAAGCTCTTCCACGGGTTGCTGCACCTGAAGGCGTCGAACTCGTACGTCCCCTACCAGGATCTCGAGAGCACATCCATGATGATTGCGTTGTTGGATGAACCAGACAAGGTGCTGCATCATATTAGACGGTACACCAACTCCTTGACCACCCAGATCGTCTACGGGTTTCGAACCCCAAAGATTGATGACCCTAAGCTGCTCAGACTGTACCACGTTATCGAGGAGTGGTCGTCCATCACCGGCGCCGGGGCGGCAGCTGTCTTGGACGTCTTTCCCATTTTCCGATCCCTACCCCCTTTCATTCGCCCACTTTATCGCCATGCATTGGACCTCCAAGAGCGAACGTTTGACCTCTACAAAGGCCACTGGCTCGAGGCGAAGAAAAAGGTGCAGAATGGCACAGCCAAGCCATGTTTCTGCGTCGGTATTGCCAACGCACAAGAAAGCCAAAAGTTTGATGATGACTTTGCTACCATGGTTGCTGGGACGGCGCTGGAGGCAAGCTCGGATACCACTGCCTCGACGCTGGCGGGGTTTGTCCTTGCTATGATCTTGTATCCGGAGGCGCAAAACAAGGCGCAGAGGGTGGTTGATGAAGTTTGCGGGGATAGATTCCCCTCGATTGAGGATATGGAAAACCCAAAGGCGCAGTATATCAGGGCTTGTGTGAAGGAGAACTTGAGGTGGATGCCGACCGCGATATTGGGCGCGCCGCATGCGGTGATTAGGGATGATGAGTATATGGGGTATAGGATTCCCAAAGGGGCGGGGGTGGTGTATAATGCTTGGTTGGCCACTTCTATCCCTTTCTTCGCTGATATTTTGCTGATGGTTGCAGGGCTGTACATATGGACGCCGAACGACACCCTAACCCCCGCGTCTTTGATCCTGACCGGTACATCCATGACTTTGCTAGCTCGACCGAGTCAGCTCAGCAGGCTGACGCTACCAAACGGGATCATTTTAGTTTTGGGGCGGGGAGGAGAATCTGCGAGGGGATGCACGTGGTTGACAGGTCGATGTTTCTTGTTATTGCGAGGTTGATGTGGGCGTTCAAGTTTGAGAAGGCGATTGATGAGGTGACGGGGCAGGAGATCACACCCGATCAGGATGATCTAGTCGGTGGGTTCTTGATGCAGCCCAGGCCGTTTAGGTTGAAGATCACGCCCAGGAGCGAGAAGAAAGCGGAGACGGTGAGGGAGAAGTGGGGGGAGTGTTTGGGTTTGTTGGATGAAGGGGGGCAGTGGAGGAGTGTACCGGAGGGGATGCCGTTTACTGTTTCTGAGGGGGATGGGAAGGGGGAGTGATAGTGCTTTGACCTTGATGGATATCTTGGGGGTGGTGTTTGTCTTGCGATGTTGGTGAATGGATGGAGCCAGACATACGAAGGTTGAGAACTTTGGTCCCGATTTGTTCAGTAGTATATATCTGGGGTATTCGGTGGCGTAAAACCTTGAAATAAACTCAGTTCATCACGTTCTTGCTTGAAAACCCCTCAATTCAAGATTCAGTCCACTCGTTGCAAACCTAACCTTCCCCCAAGTGGAACTGTCAAGACTTTAACCGCCTATAGAATGTCAAATCTTGTCCATTCTATCCCGATATCCCCCTCCAGTGCGTGTTCCATGTCCTCTTCCATATAGCCAGGCACATACGAGTCACCAACATACTCATAGTAACCATCGTGAATAAATCTCAGGATTAGTGGAGCGTGACCTCCTGCAACCAAGCAAACAAGATCGCCCTCCCTGCAGTCAGGCGAACCCAGTCCGAGTTGGAACCTGGAATTGGAACCCAGCCCGGTGGCCATGTAGAGCTGGCGGTGCGGTGCACTTCTGTTAGCACTCAGAGTGGTGGTGTGCGTGATGGCCTCAATGACCTCAGTCTTGTTAATCTTATTGTTCTCGGGCTCGGCGTCGAGATAAAGCCCATCCACCTTGAGACAAGCACGACTGATGGCTTCCTTGAACCAGTTAAACGACTCCTCACCAAGGTCCTGGCCACCTGTGAGGCAGCTGTACAACTCGACGAGACATGGCTCATTGATAGGGCCGACAAATCGTATAAGTCTGTCGAGGTTCGTCCACCACTTCTGCAGGCTATATGTCCTGTGAATTATGCCAACCAACTTGCCGTGAACCTGCAGCACCCCCGCGTTTGATACAACCGGTAGATGCTCGCTTCGAGATGGCACACTTCTCGTTACCCGACTCAGTGCCGGGTACCGGAGAGCTTCAATATTGCAGGAAAGGTCCGGCGTCCAGGAAGGGAGGTATGTCTCCCACATCGTGAGATGGGTCCTGAGATGGGTGCAAAGAAACCGAATAATCAGTGTCTTGTCACTCTCAATCGAAAACTTTGCCATTTCGGTGTAGACCTCCGACACGTGCTTGTTGTAATCCGGTTTGGGAGGGTGAATGCCCGCTGCAATCCCATCAAAGTGTATCATGCCAACAATGGCAAAGACTTGATCTCGAAGGTCGGAACATTCCGTATTGATGCTCACGGTGAGGACCTCGTTTAGGTTGGTGATGCCCTGGCCACTGTGGTGGTGTTGGAGCTCATAAGACTGCTGTCGCAGATAGTCGATCCCCGAGAACATTTCGAAAGCTCTGGTGTATGCCTTCAAAGTTTGACGCCCCAATATGCTCGACTTTGGGTTCAAGACGTCTTCAAGCTCCTCCCCCATAGCCAGAGGGCTGGCAGCAGCCCATGTCTCCCAGTCTTCCCACTGGTTCCCACATCCGATAAGAGGCGCTTTTTTGGGCAAATGACCTCCTGTAGAATCCATGTTCTGCTCCAAAAAGGCCGGTTCATCAGGGCTGTCAAAGGCTCAATGGCGCGCCACACGTCCAGAGCCGGCTTCATGGGGGACCTCGCAGAAACAGCTCTAATGAGCTCAAAGGCCTCGTCAGTCCCAGGACCAGCTGGGCCCAGCCATGCAAGAACACGGGATGCGCCCTTAAAAATTTGTCCCATGTACTCGACCTGGTGATTCCTCTCTGTATTGTCGTCTTGGTTGATGCAGATGGCGTCGATCCAGATCCGGCGGTCCCGATCTTTGAGTCTGAGGTGGCGAAGAGCATCATGAGCTGACTTGGTGACGGGCAGAGAGGCCGCGCCGATGGAAATCAAGTAATTGCGGGCTGGATCCCCCCAAGTGTAGGAGAGGGCTTCGTAGTCGTTTTCATGTTGCAGGCTGTGGCGGGTGAGGGAGCATAAGATTGGATCGTCGGACGAGCCTGGGTGGATCGTCAAGACGCGGATTTGGGTGATCGAGTGATCGATGGGTTGGTATTCAAGATGTGGAGGTGGCATATTTTTTTTTGTTAACGGGATTATCTGGTCATACATGACAATACCGGGTGAAGAATTTGGAAGTAATGTTGCTGGTGAGCAGCTGGAGGCATCGTTTGGACAGTGATGCCTGATGTCACGCCGGCCGCATAACAGCTGACCAATGAAGTCGAGAATCGTGCGGGTAGGCCAAATACCTACCTACCAGACACACCCTGCCCACAAGGTAATTGAGACAGCAAAGGTAAGTTAACCTATACCATATTATGAACCATGCCTCACAAGCAAGTTAATACGCATTTCTACTATATCTAAAGGCCTTTCAACTATTTTTAAAGGCCTATCAACTATATTTACAGGCCTATGAACTATCTTTCCAGGCTTATCAACTATCTTTTCAGTCGGTGAAGGTTGGGACAGTTGGATGGGGAAAATACTTGGAAAGGAATGGCGCTCTCCGCATCCTTATCCCAGTCACCAGCGTATAGAGAAAGTTGGCATTCCGTCATAGTGCCCGCCATCGTTATCGATAGCCAACTCCTCCAAATAGGCAAAGTCGGTGAATTTGGTGAGGACCGTGTCGTTTTCTGGAAGAACGAATGCACTCATTCTTAGAGTTCTTAGCCGTAGGGGCTGTCGTCCATCTCTCGCATATTTGTGACAAATACCATTGAGGAACCTGACGTATTTTACCGATTGGGACTTGAAAATGTAATCATCATCTATCGAAAGGTCAAGCGGTTGAAGACCACTTCAAAGCTCATGTTAGCCAATCAGTCTGCACTGCTTGAGAACGGTATGCTCGAAAGGAAGACCCACGGCGATTTGATCAAAGCCTTAGATGTTTGGCCTTGCCATTCCGTCAGATCACCTTGGATATTGCGAAGTGTCAAAGAGGTGAGATTGCCGAATAATGAGATCTCCATGGGCTTATAATGCGGATTGACGTCTCTATCTTCAGGCTCCCGATACGGGGCTAGGTGAAGATGCAGACTCTTGAGCCTAGGGCACGATGCCGCTAAAGATGATATGGTGCCTCGATGTATTGTGTGGCATATGTTCTCGTCTGCATCCCATGTGAAGCTTTCGAGGCGCTCCATTTTGTTGACCAAGGCGGTCACTTTTTCATTCGTAGTTCAGGACCACCATTCGGTCTCGCACACGTCGGGAATGGTCAATGCTTTTGTGTGAATGAGGTTCGAGTTTGATGGTTGGAGATATAAAAACACGATGGAGGGACCGAGGTGTCGATAAAGGTGTCGACAAAACTCAAAACCGAAAATTTTGTTGGTGAGGGCCAGACTGTGGAGGAGACGCCTATCGTCGATTTGGTCGGCGATTGATTTCAGAATCTCCAGGTTTCTGCCCACCTTGGGGCCGGCAGCGTACCTAGCGGCGAGATTCTCTGCTCAAAACCTGGAATTCTCAGCTGAAAATTCTTTCCTCTCGGGAGCAGCTGATAAGTGGCCCTTCTGTTCCAGGTTGCTCTATCAGTGTCTAGTGCGACACCCAAGGTGGCAAAAGCAAAAATATATAATTGCTGCGTTGAGATGATATTCAAGCGGAGAACTGTTCTCAAAATGGGATGGTCGGTGATGTCTTTATGTGAAGGGGAGGCCTTGTGTTGCAAGCAGAAATGAGTGCGTTGGGCTCAACTTGACTGACCACCTCACCCTGTCACCACCGCAGACTCAGGAACTCAGATCATTTGGCCCATAGTCGGTTACATCGAAATGTCATCATAACAGTCACTTCAGGCGAGTCAACACCCCAAACCAAAACAGACAACTAAAATTCTAAAAGTCCCTCTATACCCCCAACATAGCAATGCTACCAACGCCTAAATGCACCCACCCACCCCTTACTCCAAAATAAATACCTCCCCGTCCTCCAAGAAAAAGCCTCCGCACCACTCATCCTCCTCTCAATCCCCTCCACTGCCCTCCGCAACCTCCCCTCGACCTGCATCTCCCCCTTCAACCTGACAAACTCCCCCTCCCAAGCCCTGACAAGCCTGACAGACAACCCCCTCGCCGCCTCAACCCCAATACCCACCTCCCCCGCCAAAACCGCAACCCCATTCACCAACGCCCCTCCCTCCTCTCCATTCATCTCCGCCGCTTGCCATTCTCTCTCAAAACTAAAAACATCATTCAATATACTGACATGATAATTCGCCAGTTTTTCCAACGGTCTCAACATCCTTTTCTCATCAGCCGTAATACCTGCCAGAGCGGGGTACCCCTC